CGGGTGACGGCCGAGAGGAACCTGTTCGACCGTGTGGTCACCCTGCGGCTGCCTGGTGAGCCCAGGTGCCTTGCACCTCAACACCTCAGGCGGGTCGTCGGCCAAGAGCCATGTTGCCTGGTTCTCCAGTTGGCGCCGGGACAGCGGGCTTGGCACCGCTAAGCACAGCACGCCCTCCTGCAGGGGACAGTGGGGAGGACAGTGGGAAGGGTGTGGAGCTCTGCAGCGGGAGCACGCGGGTGGCTCATGCTTGCCTCCCCTCCCCGCAGGCCTGGAGAGTGTGGACCACTACCCCATTCTGGTGGCGGTGACAGGCATCCTGGTGCAGCTCCTGGTGAATGGCCCCGCCGCAGAGTGAGTGTCGGGGACCACGGGCCCTGTCGGGGCTGAGTGTGCCTGACGAGGAGGGGCTGGGCACGGCCTCAGTCTCCAGACGGGGATAAGGCAGGGGGAAGCAAGGCAGGAACCTCCGGTCCCCGTGGCGGCTGGCCTGTGTAGGGGATGAGAACCCCAGCCCACAGGCGGGGGCATGGGAGCCGGACATGGGTGCGGCCAGAGCCGCTGCTGGATGCTGCCCGGACCTGAGAAGTTGCCAGCAGTGAGCACAGAGCACATTTATTAGGAAGTGCCAGACATCGCCCGGGACACCCATGGGGCCCAGTGCAGCCCCCACACAGGAGGGTTTCCCAAGCCCCCTTCCCGGCCCTCAGGCAGAAGGGTGTGGTGCAGATAGAGCTAGGGCACTGCTTCGCCCATTAGGCCGAGACCCGTGCCAGCCCGTAAGAGGCTCCTGCCCTCGAGAGACATAGCCTTCCAGCGCAGCCGGACTCGCCGGGCTTTTACTGCTGATAGCTGGGGCGCTTGCCACGGTGCCCTACTGCTGTCTCCTAAGCTGTGCCTTGAGAGTAACGGTGGGATGCCTCTGGCCAGGGGGCAGGGCCACCCTGGCTGGGGCTCAGGCCGGGCTCAGGGTTCTTGAGCCTTGGCTGCCTGACACCCACCCACCGGGCTGCGTGGAGCTATGCAGCTTCTAGCAGGTTGAATATTGGCGTTGGTGATCCTGCTTCATGGAGCAGGCTTGCTCCCTCTGGCCACTGCCCTCGGCACCCGTCCCGTCCCCCTGGGACCCACCTCTCCTGGCCCCTGGGGAGGAGAGGGTAACTGCTTTGGCTCCTGGCAGCTGCCTCGCCCTGAGACTGGAGCTCTAATGCAAAAGGCTCTTCCAGATGGGCCTCCGGTCCCAACCCTCGCGGCAGCGCTCAGGCATTAGCAGGCCTTGGCCGGGCCGAGCAGGAGGCAGGTTGGGGACCCAACCCCCTCCCTCTGAGTGTGGCCCTTGTGGTTTGGGTCTAGGCCCTCACGGGGCTGGGACCAGGCAGCACCTGGTGCTTCCCCAGGCCACACCAGGGAGCAGGGCAGAAGCAGCGGGGGGGCCTGGGCGAGGCCCGGGGCAGCCTAGGTCATCATGAGACCCTCTGAGCCTGTGGAGCTGGCAGACTCAGAGCCCGCCTTGAGCCGCAGTCCCACGGGGTTGCAGAGATCAAAGTCCTCAGCTACTGCCAGCTGCACCCGGCCGTTGAGGCCCCTCCTGCCGGGCTCCAGAAAGACCACATGCTTGTGGACACTGGCCTTGCGGCTGGGCACGTCAGGCGACATGGTGCTGAGCACCGAGGACTGTGCGCTCAGCTCCTGGAGCGGGCTGGCTGCTTGGGGCCAGCGGCGGCAGCGGCAGGCCTTTTCGGCAGCAGCCGCGACAGGGCGGGGCGAACAGGTAGAGCAGTACCAGCACCAGGCCCACGACACAGCCCAGCAGCGTGGTGTAGCCCGTGTTGAAAGCCTCTGGCTCCAGGGGCGGCAGATGCACACTCACGTTGTACTCGTGCGTCTGGTTGTGATGCAGGCGGGACCCGCTGGCCAGACACACGAAGATGCCCGCGTGCCACTGCTGCACGCTGCCTATGGCCAAGCTGCCGTCAGCCAGCACGGCGATGCTGCCGTCGCGGGATCCCGGTGCCACCAGCAGCTCGTGCTGCGGTGACACCCAGGCGGTGCGCAGGGCGGGCGTGCTGGTGTCTCCACGCGCAGCTGCCCTTCCGGCTGCTCTAGGCTGTGAGCCGGGGCAGCTGAACAGTTCTCAAAGATGCGGGTGTGCTGCAGGAAGCGCACGCGGGACGCAGGCACCCCAAAGGCCAGGCACGTGTACTCGCCGGCAAAGTTGCGCACGGCGCTCAGGCCTCGCTGGTGCCAGCGCCGCAGCAGGTGGTAGAGGCGGCAGTCACAGAGCAGCGGGTTGTTGTGGAAGTAGAGGCCGTTCTTCAGGAAGGCTGGCAGCAAGGCCAGCTCAGGCACAGAGACGTGGCGCAGCTGGTTGGAGGAGAGGTCCAGCGTGCGCAGGTGGGGCGTGCCAAGGCCGTGCAAGTGGTGGAAGGAGAAGGAGGCGAGTTCATTGCAGCCCAGGTAGAGGTGGCTGAGCATGCTCAGGCCGCGGAATGCGTGCTGGTCCAAGCGTGCCAGGCGGTTATTGAACAGCAGTAGCCTCTCCAGTGCCCCCAGCCCGTCCAGGTCATGGCGGCCAAGTGCCTGCAAGGCGTTAGATGACAGGTCCAGCAGCTTCAGGCCGCTGGCATTGATGAACACTCCCGGCCCCAGCGTATCCAGCTGGTTGTGGCTTAGGCGCAAGGCGAGCAGTCGGTAGAGGGGCGCCAACCAGCCGGGGCGAAGGCGCTGGAGCGCGTTATGGCTCAGATCGAGGTCTGCAGCCCAGGCAGGTAACGCGGCCGGCACGTCCTGCAGCTCCAGGCCCGCGCAGCTCAGCAGGTCGGCAGCGCACACGCAGTCGTGGGGGCAGCTATGGGGCGCAGGTGGCGGTAATTCCTCGGAGTCCGGAGTGCCTAACCCGACACGCAGCGTGCACAGCAGGGCACCCAGCAGCACAAGCCCGGCCATGGCGGCGACCACCAGGAACAGGACAGGGAGGCAGCTCCGGGACTCACCCACTTCTCTAGTTCAGGGGGCCTGGCGCCGCGTGACCCATGGCCCAGGAGCCACGAGGGGGCCTCCGCTTAGGGCTGACGGTTCCTGCTCCGTCCCAGATTAAGGTGGGGCTGTGCTCCCCTTTTTCGGCTTCCCTAGCTCGCTCGGAACACTGCTCCGGCTTGGCTTCTAAATACTCGCTGGGAGGGGATGGCCCAGGGGGCGGGGCTCGAGCGCCCATTGGTTCCGGCCGCAGTAGGCGGAGTGGCCGAGTCCCCTGGCGCTCAAGGGCCCCATGTGGCCGCCAGAGGGGGCGCGACTCCGGCTTTCCTGTCCCAGCCTAGCCTCGCAGGCAGCTTCCCCCAGCTCCTGTCTCCAGAGTGAAAGGGGAAATGTGGGAAGAATGCCTTTAAACTGCCGTTGTTTCTTGTTCGTGTTTATTTGACGTCATACTGTAGAATTACTTGTGTTGGAGTGATTCTGAAGGACCAATTATGGGGCAGGTGGACTGCCACTATCTGATGGTGGCTCCCCTGAACTCCCTCCAAATGGGGACCCAGGACTTCCTGGGGGACTAGTGAGAAAAAGAGGGAGGGGAAGAATGGGGGGACCCTAATGCAGGTGAGCTGGATTGTCCTGCCGCCCCCTCCAAGACATGACGTCCCAGCAGGCCCCGAGCCTTCTCACTGCCTACCCCCCTTTCTAGGAGAGAGCGAGCCACGTCGGTGCTCCTGGCAGACCCCTGCTTCCAGCTGCGCTCCATCTGCTATCTCCTGGGGCAGTCAGAGCCCCCAGCACCAGGCACTGCCCTGCCGGCCCCTGACCGGAAGCGCTTCTCCCTGCAGAGCTGTGAGTGGGTAGGGGTGGGGGGAGATCTCAGGCTGGATAGGGTAAGGGGTGCTGGGCTATAGGCCTGACACCACCACCCTCAGACACAGACTACATCAGCACCGCGGAGCTGGCCCAGGTGGAACAGATGCTGACGCACCTGACCTCCGCATCTGCCCAGGCAGCAGCCGCCTCCCTGGTGAGTTGAGCGACAGCCCGCAGGTCCACGCTGCTCCAAATGGCGTGAGCACAACTGAATAGACACATGCCCACATGACGTCCACATATGCGGCAGGCCAACCCCAGGGCCCTTTCACTGTCCCCCGCAGCCCACCAGTGAGGAGGACCTCTGCCCCATCTGCTATGCCCACCCCATCTCGGCCGTGTTCCAGCCCTGCGGCCACAAGTCCTGCAAGTAAGTGAGCCATGGGGTGGCGACCAGCAGGGCAGGGGGAGCAGCAGGCAGCCCTCACCCCCTCTCGTTGCAGAGCCTGCATCGACCAGCACCTGATGAACAACAAGGATTGCTTCTTCTGCAAAGCCACCATAGTGTCTGTGGAGGACTGGGACAAAGCAGCCAGCTCGAGCAGCACCTCTTCGGCTGCCTAGGCCTGCCTCGCCTGCACCGCTCACACCAACCCGGAACTTCCACCGTGAACCCAGCCCCAAGCCGAGCCTTATTTATGAGGTCCCCTTGCCCTGTTCCCAGACCACACCCTGCCCCTGCCACATCCAGCCTCCCCGTGTGCAGCCTCATTGGTGGAAGTCCAGCGTGGCCCTCCTGTGCCCGAGCTCGGCTTTCAGTCAGGGCCACAGTGAGCATTAAATTATTATTCTGTACAGCCCTGGCCCGGCCCTTCTTCAGGGAGAAGGATCTGTGGGGTGTGCCCGGCAGAGATCCTGCCAGGTGATATCCACGTAAGGCAGGTGTCCAACAGCTCCAGCCTCATCCAGTCCCCCCAGACAAGTGGCAGCAAGTCCAGAGCCTTCCAACAGGTCACGCCAGTGTCCCATTCCAGCGGGAAGTGGGCTCAGCCAGCCCCAGGCGTGTCTTCACATGATGATGCGAGGCTCTGGCACGGACTCGCTGATAGACTTGTGGGGCAGCACGCTGGCTCCGTTGAGGTAGAGCTCGTCGTTCACAATGACGTCCTCACCCAGCACCGTCACGTTCTCCATGCGCACCTGGTGGGGGGGCCTTGTCAGTGAGCAGGCTCCGCCCCCGTCCTCCCCGCTCGGCCTGACCCACAGGCTTACCCACTGGCCCACGCGGCAGCGCCAGCCCACTATGCAGGCCCCGAGCCACGAGTGGGAGCGGATGTGGGCATCCCGCAGCACCGTACACCGCCGGATGCACACGCCGTCCTCCACCACCACACCGGGGCCCAGCGTCACGTTGGGGCCAATGCTGCAGTTCTGGCCTATGCGGGCACTGGGGTCCTGAGAGCAGCGGGGAAAACGCAAATGGACCACTTGCTCCCAAGACCAGGGGGGTTAAAGATGCGCTGCGCAAGGGCCTCACCACCAGCACGTTGCCCACAATGCCGGGGCCTGAGCATAGGCGCTCAGGCTGCTTCTGCCTCAGTGACTGCAGGAAGAGGCACATGCCGGTGAGGAAGTCCTTGGGCTGCCCAATGTCCATCCAGAAGCCTGTAGGGAGGAACGCACCAGGGGGCTCAGCTCAGCCCAGCCACAGACCCCCCACCCCGGCGGCCCCCCCGCCTCACCCTCCCGG